GATAACGCTCCTAAATATTTGTGCACTAAATGTGCAAGAGTGGCTTTTATATCTCTACAAGGAGCAAAACCCGACTGTGCAATCACCAGATTTGAACCCCACAGAAAATTTATGGTATATCGTCCAGAAAAGGACAACATATCCTCGAAGGAATCCTTAGAAACAGCAATAATAACTGAATGGGATTCAATTGATGCTGACGAGACGAGCATCTTTATAAAAAGTATGTGTCGACTTTTACAAGCTTCCATTAAGGCCAACGGAGGAATCACTGAAGATTAAAATCCTTAAATCTTTGGAATTGATGTTTTTTGTCAACATTGAAGTGTAGGAATAATTTTTGTGCGTAAAAAAATGACTTTTTTTTGCATTATTAAGGAAATTATTTAGTATTCAAATTAAAACTTGTTAATTTTATGTTTAAAATATATGCTCGAAATGTATATCTTTCATTTGAGATATTACATTTCAATTTCCGTTACGTATTTCTCGAGATATTAAAAAATAAACTTGCAACTCATCAGTGTACGAATAAATTATGTGCCGACTGTTTCTTTTAACAAATATTATTATAAATTCGGGGATGCCCCAGGGAATACCAATTTTGAAGGATACTCCTACTCCTTCTCTTCATCCCCATCCCAACGATTGATTTTTCACCAGCGCATCACATACACAGGACAATCAATTAATTCAGATTTTTAATCGTAAGAATGATTGAGAGCTTTTCATTTTTTGTTCTTGCACATCGTTCACTTTTGACCTTTATTTTGACCCTAATAATAATAAACAGTTAAGGCTAGACTAGAAAACCGATCAGCTGCTGCGTTACTTGTTTACATTTGCAAAATAATAAGCTGTTCCGAGTTTGTCATAACAACAACAGTAAAGTAGATGGGCCTTATGCGGTAACACTTAAAACTAGTAGATATGTGGGTTTGTGTCGCCAGGCAGTCTACACCCCCTTCGAGAAATCCGTTGATTTTTCCATACACGAGTGTATACCATGTGTGAGGCGGGGAGATAGGCCCTAACTATTTTAAAATGGCCACACTTTCACAAATCGATCGTTCGTTCATAAAATACTACAACTACACTACAGCCCATTCACACACATGGACTTCACAAAACTAAATAAAATTCTTCAAGTCGCTCACAGGTGCAGCTGAACCATTCCACGTTTAAATGGTTTTCTTTGGATAAAAAATTCACACATCCTCTGTATATAATTACGATAAATCCCACAACAAAATAAAAACGATACGAAATGAAATTCTATTTATAAAAGGCGCACTCACACACATACGCACAAACGCGCGCATGTTTGGCAGTGAAATGTGAGAGGAAAAGGGGGAAGGCCAGCAGTAGTAGTAAAACATGCAAAAGACCATGTGAGCAAGCGAGATAGCACTTTTAGCGACACTGTCACACACAACATACACACATATACAGACGGCGGCCGCGTACGAATTACGCAAAGTGAAATATCTTTCTCAAAATGGAAAGTGAAAAATTGGCGTAAATGACGACTACTGTGAATTTTTTAGCCATCAGTTAAACCAGAAACAAATACAAAATATATCAAATTTGCACTGAAATAGACCCGAACAAGAGAAGGGGGATTGCTGTTATAAATTTGACCGCAAAACGAAAATCACAAGGCGAACGAGGTCGCGCAATCGAAAAACGTCGTCCAAAAATGCTGACAACAGGCAAATATAAGTCTCAATTTAAACGCAATAATATTTTAGGTCAATGGTAAGAAATTTTCAGCACAGCACAAAACTCACTTATTATTCGGAAACTTTTGTTGGCAAGTGTGACCGCACCAGCAAATCACAAATGTTAGAGTTGCTTGTTGATGACTATCGATATACACGGTTCGTAAGGGGCATTCCAAAAAAAAGGAGAGTGCAACCGATAAGTCAGGAGGGTCGTTAGCTTGGAAGAGTAACTCCGCTATAATATTTTTTTTTTTTTCAGACAACCAACTATACTTGCATTAATCTGCTAAACTTAATAAAAACTGTACATATTCGTATATCTTGCATGTTCCTATCTTATCTCTCACACTTTGGGATGACTTCTATTTTTTCGTTTGATTAGTTTAACAATACTTAACAAGAGGAAATGCTATAGTCGACTGCCGCGACTATAAGATACCCCTTACTGTTTTTAACAATTTTAAAATATTCATTGTGCTAGTGGAAATTCCCAAAGCGCCACCTATTGTCGGAGAAAATATGTTGATTAACTGATAGTGACGTCAAAAACCATGTGAAGCCTTATAACATAAATTTATTCAAAAATAGAAAAATTAAGTTCCGATTTGCAAAACCTTTGGTAATCGATAGAAATTGACAAATACAAAGTCAAACGAAGACATACACTATAATATTATGGACGCCACAGTTTTCCGCGGTTTGAGGGAGTTAGAGTGGGCGTGGCTAGATGAAAACTAGGGCCAAATTGCAGTGGCAAATTCTAAATACGTATTCTTAACCAGCTGTTATAGTTTCCGAGATTTTTGCATTTTTGGTTCTTCGGGTTTTGTGGGCGTTAAAGTGGGCGTGGCTTGATCGGAAAAACATTTCGCATAAGGGGGATCATAAATGCTTATATGTTTAATCCGAACTTTATAGCACTTATAGTTACCGAGATATCAGATTTTTTACAAAATGCGAACACCGTGTTTTGAGCTTGGTGGGCGTAAGAGTAGGTGTGGCTAGTACCACCATAAGATCCACCGGCATCCCAAGATTATACGTACTGAATTTCAACTTTCTAGCTTTAATAGTTCCTGAGTTTTAGCGATTTTAGTTTTTCGTGTTTTGTGTGCGTTAGAATGGGCGTGGCAGGATGCGGAATTAAACTTGCGCTGTGTATGGAACTCAAGAACTTTCATGCTTAATCTCAACTTTGTATCTGTTATAGTTCCTGAGATCTCAGCCTTCATACGAACGGACGGACGGTCGGACGGACGGACGGAAAGACGGACATGGCTCAATCGACTTCGCTATTGAACCTGATCAAGAATATATATACTTTATAGGGTCGGAAATGATTCCTTCTATCTGTTACATACTTTTCAACAAATCTAGTATACCCTTTTACTCTACGAGTAACGGGTATAAAAATAAATAAAATGTTACCTTTTGTGGCTTGTTCTTCGAGAACACTCTTTTAATGAATATCTTGGGACTGATGTGATGTACATATGTGTGTCTTTTATGACAAATCCCAAATATTTTTTTTTTAATTTTATTTATAAGTCAAAAATAGTGGACCAGTAGGATATATGTGAAATCAGGGCTTACTTGTATATCTTAATATTTTCAAAATTTGATGCACATTATTAATTTATTAATAAATGTTTACTGAGCTTTGTTTAAAGTGCGTGGTTTTTAAAAAAAACACTATTGCTAGGAACATAAAAGCATTTTTAACGTCAGAAAACGAGGTTATCATAGCTCTTTATTTATAAATTTGAAAAAGTCATGTTCTCAGCACATTCGTATTTTTTTAAAACGACCTACGATAGCTGTTTGTGCAGAATCACGGGTGCGCTTGGATAAGGCAGCAGCCGATTCTTAAATCGATCCTTTTGAATGAGCGAAAAAATGGATTCTTTATTTAGGGAATCGATGCATCAACAAGTTTGGTCACCGAGAAAAAAAATTAAGTAAACGAAAAAATTATTTTAAAGTTATATACCTCAAGTAACCTAATAAAAATGTATCACTTCCAGAATCAGTGTGTGTCATTGTTGAGGGAAAAAAATGAGAGATGGATATTTCCAAATAAATAATGTAGATTGTTGTTCGCGCTGGATGCAGTCACCGACCGCAGAGCGTCCTTGAAAACCAAAAACCTAACCTTGTACTCACAAATAAAAGCTTATGGGTTTTAAATGAATAAACAGAAACATTGATCGGAAAAATTTTTTTAACGAATTTTACTTTTGTTTGCAGCTGTAAATTTGGTGTTTTCCATTGAACGAAAAGGGACAGAAGACATTCCTTCTTTTGATATAAGTGTTTTGGGTGTCTGCGCAATAGAGTAGTTGGTGCGCAAGAGCACATTCGAAATGAGCAGTGTAAGACACCCACCCTTATTTTAGGGTGCCGATCACACTCTAAGTGCCGAAAATGCACAAATGATTTGGGTGCACTTATTGTTTGGGTGTACCCTTGCCGTTCTTTGGTAGAATTGTTTACAGCTCTACAGCATCGTCATCCAAAACAGTTTTGATTGCCTAAAAATTAAATTACATGTGCATAGTAAAACCGTTAAAAGATCACTAAGTGATTTTCTGTTATCAAGATATCGATATAAAAATTTGTTTTGAGGAATGTCAATGTCTTGGCTAGATTTGGTGTGACCTTTCATGTGTTATAAAAAATATTCAAGTAATTTTAAATTTTGTAAAAAGTTGTAATGGACTTTGGTTATAATTTTTGGAGACATTGAATTATTTAAATATATTAAATTCCATATATATCAATAGAAAATTACCGTTTGAATCGTTATTCTTATTTATAAGGTTTGAGTCACGGGAAAAAATTTAAATTGGTCGTGGCTTGTAACCTATTGGTTTTTATTCTGTAGTGGTTGCATTCTCATTAACTTGGAACACCTACTATAGCACGATATTGAAAAAATTAAATTATTAAAAAATTTAAAAGCTCTCGTTTCAGAAGTTCCCCAAGCTATATATATACCGTGTACGTTAGTACAATATTTGTGAGTTAATTTGATTTTTAACCTCCTAGTATGAGGAAAAACAGGTTGATCCACTGAAAATCTTATTTAATAAAAATGTACTGAGCTCAATGACACTTCCTGACAAGAAGCTTGAATTGATATATAATTAATATAATAATATAAATGAATGATAATATAAATATGATAATATAAACTTAAATCGAATAATAATTATTTGAATCACGTTATTCCTAAAAATCAAATACAAATATCGATACTATCGAAATCCTGTCGATGACCTTATAGCTACCACCTCTAGTTTTTGTGTAAAAAAGGGAGATTTTCACGAAAAAAGAAAAGAACATTTTAAGAGATTTTTTGGACACGAATTCTGCTCAACGCATTACTTGTGCCCCAGCAAATTGTATTGTCTTTCAACGGAATAGATACTTCTAACACAGGTTGCGAATGAAAACGCCGCACAAACAAATTGTCGCGTCGCATTACGTTTCAGTGTTGCCAACTTTTTTGGTGTGCCGGGAACACTTCCATTTCCAGGCAAAACACGGACTCATTGTGGCCAACATGTCCATACCGTTAAATTGATTCTGCACGCCCCGTTGAATGGGTAAAGTCCATACATTGATACTTCGTCCTGTATTCTCTAGATTTTAAATTGGCCGGGAAAGAGCCGGCGAGCGCAAGGACTTCAACCAGAAATCGGCGGAGCTGGCAACATTGCCAGGGCACAAAATGAAATGAATTTCGGAATAAAGGCAAAGTCATAGGAAAAGCCAGGCGGTAAAGTGTGCAAATGCGAGTGGCAAGCGAATACCTTTATTTCCCACTTCATGACGTTTTGTTGAGTTGTTTGCTGCTCTGAGTGATCATTATCAATCATCATCATCATTATCGTCAACCGAGGTCGTCGTCATTCAGCTAGCCACCCTCTACCACCCACCAGCTAGACGGCCTTTAAGGATCTCAGCAGCACCTCCTCATACAAATCTTGATTTTCGTCTTAGTCTATCTCATCAAAAAGTTCAGGTGGGTTTTTGATCCCTATTCCTTTATTTATATTCTTATAGAGCTTATTTTTAAAATCTATAGTTATGTCCTCTACCGCCGGCAAGCGTAAGGAGATCTATAAGTATCTCGCTCCTTGGCCACTGTATTCCATGAACTGGAGTGTCCGGCCGGACAAGCGATTCCGGCTTGCATTAGGCAGCTTCATCGAGGAGTACAACAACAAGGTGCAAATCATCAGCTTGGACGAGGATACCAGCGAATTTAGTGCAAAGAGGTAAGCTAAGTAAACAATTTAGTCTAATGTTTTGTGTTGATCTTTTATCCCGTTATACATTCTATATTATCCACATCGAAAATTTTAATTAAATCTTTTAAAAGTACATCATACTGCTCTGGAGTCATTAAAATACTACTTTTAAAACAATAAATATTGTATCTCCACGGTATCTTGTAGAAGCTTTCTTCATAGTATCATTTAAGATACCTGATGGCTATTCCCATAATCTTTCGCAATCCGTTTTCTGTATTTATTGCTCAAAAATTGCAAAACTTATTGATATCTTATGGATATGCACATTTTGCCATTTAAAAATTATTGTTGATTTTTATTTACATTCTAAATTTCCAGTTAAATATAATTATCTCTTGAGCAAAAAATAACTTAATTGCCGAATACCTAAAAATATATGTATTTGTCAGTTGATTACTATTCCAAATTATAACTTTCTTTTAACACAATGTATAAAACCAGCAAATTTATATTAATGAGTTTGAAAAATTTCATATTCCTTCCTATAATATTTTCACCAGCACCTTTGACCATCCATATCCGACTACCAAGATCATGTGGATTCCGGACTCTAAGGGCGTCTATCCGGATCTATTGGCCACCAGCGGCGACTATCTACGGGTCTGGCGTGCCGGCGAACCGGACACGCGGCTTGAATGCGTTCTTAACAATAACAAGAATAGCGACTTCTGCGCTCCACTTACATCCTTTGATTGGAACGAAGTAGATCCCAATCTGGTGGGCACCTCCTCGATAGACACCACCTGCACTATATGGGGACTGGAGACCGGTCAGCCGCACGCTCGCGTTTATGTGGCCGGACATGTAAAAACGCAATTAATTGCCCACGACAAGGAGGTCTACGACATTGCCTTTTCGCGTGCGGGCGGCGGACGGGACATGTTTGCCTCGGTGGGAGCGGACGGATCGGTGCGCATGTTTGATCTGCGGCATCTGGAGCACTCTACTATTATCTATGAGGTGGGTAGACTGCAAGCTTAGAGCAATGATTATCCATTTATTTATTTAACCATGCTACTATCAGGATCCTGCTCATACTGCGCTGTTGCGCTTGGCCTGGAACAAACAGGACCCAAACTATTTAGCCACCGTTGCCATGGACTCGTGCGAAGTTATCATTTTAGATGTTCGTGTTCCTTGTACACCCGTTGCAAGACTGAGCAACCACAGAGCGTGCGTCAACGGTATTGCGTGGGCGCCGCATAGGCAAGTTTCTCTTAATATTTAACTCATTCCATCACAACTATTTTTTTTGTATTTCGTCTTTTAGTTCCTGTCACATCTGCACTGCCGGTGATGATCACCAAGCACTGATCTGGGATATACAACAAATGCCACGTGCAATCGAGGATCCAATTTTAGCCTATACAGCTGCCGAGGGCGAAGTCAATCAGATCCAGTGGGGGGCGACCCAGCCTGACTGGATTGCAATTTGCTACAACAAAGCGTGCGAGATCCTGCGGGTCTAAGAGTAAATTTTTGGGTCTCGTTTGTGGCAAAAGCACCTGGCTGCAATTGCTGAACAACGCACAGTCACCAAAAAACAAAAAGAAAAAGTTTGAAAAACACACCACCCATAAAAACACTCATTTTGCTGTTGGTAATTTGGAGGCTGAGAAGCAGAAAGGAGTGATCTTGAGTTGAATCTGTTCTGTCAACACGCTTCCGATGTTTGTTTTACTTGTCTCTGTCGAAAAGATGGAGAAATAGCTTGGGAAAAGAGGGAGAAGAATAACGGAAAGCGAAGGGGACGGAGCATGTATTTGAGAATTCGTAGATTAGTTGATCATACAAGTATATAAGTCAAGTCTATAAGGTATAACCGAAATATGTATTTCTAATTGTAGTTTTTTTTCACACTTGACAAAACCCCCACCCCCACAAACACCAATCAATTTTAGGCGCTTTATCTTATTTTACTTTCGAATATACAAATCCAAGTGGAATAGAGCAAAACAAGACAAAAACTTGTAAGCAGAAAAATCAATGTCCTACCTCGTTTTTTAACCATGTTTTTGAGTCTGGCCAAAACGGCAACAGCAGCAGCCACATCAATACACTGACAGAAGGGGGCGAAAATAAATAAGTCAGCTTTTTGAAATATTTTTACTTTGTTTAACTTTTGTATGAAAACCAAAAACCGATAACCAACAAAAACAAAAGCAAAACCGTGGATTTAAAGGAATGCAAAACAAACAAAATACGAAATAAATAGGCGAAAACACTTACTTATATTACAGAATAAATTCGTAAAAACGAAAAAAAAAACTGCACACAACACAGCTAAAGTACTATACTATTAAAAAATACAAACTAAAAGCAAAAACAAATACCGAAATATATGAGCGAGAGAGAATACAAGATTGTTGCTATACCCATTTAACAAACGAACGAAATAAAAACAAACTACGATAATTTCAGATAAAACAGGACCCTTCATTAATAATCTCAAATCCCAACCACATCTCACTCTCCACAGCACAAAAGCGACTTTTCCAGAGAAACTCGAAACATTTTTTACGTATCTTGTAATTTTTAGCAATTTCACATTACCGATAGCAGTACCAATAATCTGATCATGTGTTGTAAATAAAGCATGAAAGGGAACTTTTTAACGAAAAACTAACAATCAGAAGCCGTAAAACTTTTGAACAAGACTTAGGCCCTGAATTTGTATAGCCATTTAACAGGCCACTTAACCCAAATTAAAATACTCCGTTTGCCACAGCAAAAATTAAAACGAATCTCATACATAATCCTTTTTTGTATTTAATACGTTTATACCCATAGATCAGACAATTTTGTTGATTATGGTTTCAGCAAAGAACATAATCGGTAAGTTACGACGTACTCTAGTTTCATTCTTTTTGTTTTTCTTTTTATTGCATAGTCCGTTTTACGTTATATGGGCATTATAGCTACATTTATATATGTAATATACATATATGTATACAAACACACATGCAAGCGCGTATATATAAATATCTGACCAGGCTGATGAGGTTACCAGAAAGCTAATTGATTGAAGAATGGATTACCAAAACCAAACAAAGAAACGAAACGAACGATGAGTTGAAGAAAAACCGAAACAGACAAATATTTAAATAAATAATTTTTCAATAATGATCTTTCTTATATTAAATCGGGAACATCGCTGGGTGGAAAAATGTTGCTGATGTCCACGATTCCTCGGAGTTTGTCCTCTAGATTTCCGACAATTTTTCCGGCATCAGACGGGGCAAGACTACAAAGAAGAGGTACGAGGTGTGTTCAAAAAGTAAGGTGACTTTTCAAATTTCGCGGGCAACATATTTTCGATTATCGTTTTTTTTGTTTTGTTATATTGGTACACTCTTCCCTAACATCTGTACCAAGTTTCAATGGAACATCCTCTTTTGTTTGGTTGTGAGAGGCGTAAAGTTACAAGTTGTTTTGCGAGCTCGGCGATTTTTTTGCTTTTTTCGGTCTTGGCTCGTCTGGGCTCTTCCATTGGGACGATTGGGCTTTGGTTTCGATATCATAACCATATACCCATGATTCGTCACCAGTTATGACCCTTTTGAGTAAATCTGGGTCGTCGTTGACGTCATTCAACAGCTCTTGAGCGATGCTCATGCGACGGTTCTTTTGGTCAAAATTCAGCAATTTCGGAACAAACTTCGCTGACACACGACTCATACCCAAAACGTTTGAAAAAAATTTCATGGCACGAGCCAAGCGATATACCGACATCTTCAGCAACTTCTCTGATAGTGATTCGACGATTTTCCAAAACAATTTTCGTCACTGCTTGAACGTTTTCATCAGTTGTTGACGTGCTTGGGCGTCCAGAGCGAGGCTGGTCATTGGCATCTTCCCGGCCATCTTGGAAGAGTTTGTACCACTTGTACACATTTTTTTTACTCAGAACAGTTTCACCGTATGCCACTGTCAACATTTCAAGTGTTTCAGAGCACTTAATTTTATTTTTTACACAAAATTTGATGCAAATCCTTTGATCCATATTTTTCGATAGCAAAAAATCGCCGAGCTCGCAAAACAACTTGTAACTTTACGCCTCTCACAACCAAACAAAAGAGGATGTTTCATTGAAACTTGGTACAGATGTTAGGGAAGAGTGTACCAATATAACAAAACAAAAAAAACGATAATCGAAAATATGTTGCCCGCGAAATTTGAAAAGTCACCTTACTTTTTGAACACACCTCGTATATTATAATTACAATTTAAAAATCGTTTGGAAAATTTGGAAATGAATGTATTTATATTCATTTTCATTTATCAGAAGAGCTCGTTTATTAACCCCGTTACTTGTAGAGTAAAAGGATATACTAGATTTGTTGAAAAGTATGTAACAGATAGAAGGAAGCGTTTCCGACCCTATAAAGTATATATATTCTTGATCAGGATAAATATCCGTATGAACGCTGAGATCTCAGGAACTAAAGCAGATACAAAGTTGAGATTAAGCATGAAGATTCTTGAGGTCCCGGGACAGCGCAAGTTTATTTCAGCATTATGCCACGCCCACTATGACGCCCAGAAATCGCGAAAAATTAAAATCGCTAACATTTCGGGAACTATTAGAGTCCGTCCGTCCGTCCGTCCGTATGAAGGCTGAGATCTCAGGAACTATAACAGATACAAAGTTTAACTAAAATCGCTTAAATCTTGAAAACTATTAGAGCTAGAAAGTTGAAATTCAGTATGTATAAACTTTGGATGCCAGCGCATCTTTTAGTTGTACTATTATCTGGCCACACCCACCCATACGCCTACCAAGTTCAAAAGACGGTTTTCGCACGGACATTTTCAAGAAAACCTGATCTCTCGGTAACTATAAGTAATAGAAAGTTCAGATTCAGCATGTAGATTTTTATGATGCCCCAAATGTGAATTGTTTTTTTTCCATCTAGCCACGCCCATCCTAACGCCCACAAAAAAAGAAATTTAGGTTATAAGTCCTCACATGGGCAGTGACATCACTGTCAGTTACTCGACAGGTGGCGCTTGGGTAATTTCCACTAGCAAAATGAATATTTTAAAATTGTGTAAAACAGTAACGGGTATCTTATAGTCGCGGCACTCGACTATAGCGTTTCCTCTTGTTTTTCATACTCGCCTTTTCGCTGAACCTTTCTTATAAATTAGCAGTTCGTTCACATTTAGCTTCTTAAGCTTGATCATAAGGTGACCTGTAATCTGAGAACGCTGTATGGTGGACTGATCCGGCTTGACTTCCTCATAGTAGGTTATCTGAAAGATCTTTTTCTTAACAGTGACCCTAGTGTAAATGGGCTGAACATTCACGTCAATTAGAGAGGTATCCAGATGTCTAAGAAATATTGAATATATATAATTGTGTTTATAAACGATATTGTTTCATCCAAACTTATAGACTTCCAGTTGCAGTAAGTAATAATCGGCCTCGTCCTGAAAGTTAAAGGGCAGCTTGCCCTGGTTTAGATTGTAGGGTCTGCCGCATGGAGCGAAAAGACTGCGATCCCGTTTTGGAGGATCGAGCTGAGACTTGGTTTCATTACGCTCTCGGCCCAATCGATGTTGCCGGGCAATCTCCATGCGAATTTCTGGACAGTGCTCGCTTTTCGCCTGCCAGAAGGCTTTGATTCGTTCCTCTTCGTCCTCGATTCTCGCACAATGTTCCGCCAAGGTGGACTGCTGCTGCCCCACTCTGATTCGCTGTTCATCTCTTTCAATGGCCTGATCCGCCTGCTTTTTGACGATTATGGCCCGGTTCTTGGGTAATGATCTCAATGCTTGGAGGCGTTCCGAAAGTGTAACCTCTACGCAATCCAAGCTATTCAGTTGTGGTAATGTGGCAATCACATAATCCCTGTAGTGAGGGTAGTCCACGCAGGGATTTCCAATGAGTACCAGTTCACGGAGATTATGGTTGTCACATAGCGACTCCAAGCTGGTTAGTTCTCCTATGAAGTTCAGAGTAAGATCTAGTTTGGTCAGCGACTCGCAGCCCTCCAGGTTCTCAACTCTTTCAATATTATTGATGGCCACATTTAAATACTCCAACCGCTTCAGTTTGTGCAAGTTCTCCAGGCGGGCAATCAAATTAGATTGAAGGAGCAGAATCTTCAGGTCGCGACACCAGTTCTGAATATGGTCTATGACCTCGATGTCCTCCTGGTGCAAGGAGATTTCCTCCAGAATGCTGATTAGACGCTCATTGTGTTCAGACTTTTTGCGAACTAGTTTTTCGGTAACTACGGGTAGTACGGATTAAAATCAGGTAATATTTTTAAAAATTAAACTACTTACTGAGCACCATAATGACGACTGTGTGGTGTAAAAGATAATAATATATGGCAAATAGAGTAAGGCAACTCCGTTGCTAAGTACCTTCCTTTTTATTGTTATTGTTTTTTGTTTGGGTTTTCTAGTTTATATAATCTTCAAAGAATTTTTGTACATATGTATGTATGTGTGTTTTCTTAGTTTACTAGATTTGTAATATGCGTACATAAAATATTGATCGGCTTTATTAACTGTGAACTCTACTCTATCAAGTGGAGATATACATATGTATGTAGATATGTACATATGTTCATATTCATGTATATAGAACACGTAATTCTTAACATTCAATCATTATTTTACTAACAACTTAAACTTTTCTGCCTGTTATAAGTTATATCGATCTTTAAGAAATGTTTTGTCTCCTAATTTCCTTAACAAATTCCTCTATGAAAGTAAATTTTATAATTACATTACAGATAACACTCCTAAATCTATTTCGTCTACAATGACAAAAATTTGCAGCGGCCCTGCTTTGTTACCGTAATACAGTGAATTTCGCCCCTGGGCGAACGAGAGAAATCTAATCAGCTGAATTTGAATTAAGTAGTTGAACAAGTGAATTAATAACGGCGTACTTACTGCGGCCAGTTCGCCAGTCATTAGTCGGCGGGCATACAGAAAGTACATACAATATAAGTTGACACAGATAAAATTGACGAATACATACATACATATGTACATACATATACATATAGTCTGACCATGGGCCTTGATAAGGACAGTGATATTTTGCGGCCACTTACCGGCGGTGAAGTGGATGAACTGCTCGATCTCTATAAAGTTAAATATGGTGTAAAGAATTTCCATTACCTGCTGCTGTATAACCAGCGAAAGTGGGATTGTCAGCTGGATGAGGCTAATATACAGCGCGATGATCCAAGCTATATATCCCTCAGAAAGCAATTCTTCACTCACCGAAGTGGGGACTTCCGGGTGTGGGGAACCTATGTAAGCCTGCATCGGGACATCGTGCAGAGCGTCTCCTTCTTCAGCTGGCAAACTGATGGAGCTACGGAGATGTGGGAGTGCTTGGAGGAAACACAGCTCATCGAGTGGACACAGGGCGCCTTGCTGACCAACGTGGATCTAGAGTTTTGTGACCGGGTCAAAGAGTTGGCCATCAAACGGGGTGTCACCTCCATTCAACCGCGTCAGTGCTTCGGAATGGTTTTGCCGCATGATAGAGCGATAAGTGCGGAAGTTCCAGAGCTTCTTGCAGAGTTCGACATTCGGAATCTGAGGGACGAGGATGCAGCCATAGTGCACGAAACATGGCCTAATAAGACCGAGGGCTCACTCACTTACCTCCGGGCGCTAATCCGATTCAATAAATCCCTGGGAGTATGCAGAAGCGACACTGGAGAATTAATTGCATGGATCTTTCAGAACGACTTCTCCGGGCTGGGGTGCGTACACATTAAATATAATATTTAAATATTTTTTAACTTAAGGACGTGTCTGTTTTAGTTTTGGTCAAAAAGGAAGTGTTTTTTTTTAATGTTCAGGCTCAAATGAATTAAGACGAGATAATCGAGTTTTAACATCTATTATGTAAAGGTTTGGAACTAATAATTAAACATAATGTCTTTTTGAGTACTCAAAAAATGTTTGACCGTTTTTCTCTTGGTGCATTAAGATGTAATTATTATTTTAATATAAGAACAATACTTTTATTTACCTTTTCTATATTTCAGTTCCAATGATTTAAAATTGAATTCATAAAAAAATTAATATTGTAAAATAAGTCTTAATTCAGGCTTATGTAATTACTTAAAAATGTGGACCTGAAAATAATAAATTTTTTCCGATTTTAGCATGCTTAAAGTGTTGGCCAAGGCGGAGAGAAGGGGACTGGGTGGCCTCTTGGCAGCAGCGATGACCCGAAGAATTGCGCGGGGTGAGGATGTCACCCTTACTGCTTGGATTGTATCCTCTAACTGGCGGTCGGAAGCTCTTCTCAAGAGAATAGGGTACCAAAAGGAGCTAGTCAACGAGTGGATTAAGCTGGTGCCCAATCCCCCGTGATCGGGTCATTCACCAGCGGACTGGTGACGGTTGTGGATATTTCTTAGGATAGTTGGATATACCACAAACAGGTTAGGTCAATAAGCAAACAAGGTGATTTGAATTTGATATGCCTACATATGTATGTACATGGACAACCGTTTTATTTTGGCATTTAACATGCACTCTTGCTTTCCGAATACACTTTAGGTCTTAATAAAATTCAAAAACAAACGTGAAACTAGCGGGCCGGAGGGAATGTGGAAATCGGGGACTTGAACTACCTATTATACACTCGTCTCCTAAACGATACCAAAAATACATTTAATTTACAGCGTTGCTTTGCATTCTGGGACATACGTACATATATTACGCACTTCTGACTCAACCAGCGCAAAATTAAAATTTTATATTTTCGACTTTATTTACAAAAGGATGTCGCGCGCTTACATATTTTGTACACTTTGTGTAAAAAGTTACTTTTTTCTTATCGCAAAAATTATATGAAAATCTTGCCGAACATTAGGTGAGGTTTATAAAATATTTAAAAAAATTACGTTTTTTGTTAAAGACACTTCTGCAGTTAATTTAGTTTACATACTAATCATTAGCCATAATATTTTTGAACATTCTCCACCTCGACATCTTTTTAAATTTCAAAGTAATTAAACAAGGAAACTTATAGCTCAGTGACACATGAAGTTAATTATTATGAAACAGAAACCTTCGAGTAGTTACAATCTGCATTTGTTAAATAAGATTGAAAATCTTAAGAAAACTCTGCTTCTTCCTAAGCTTATTGAATTTAGAGTTGTGCCACTTTAGTCAAACGTATTCAATATAAATATAAATATTCATGTATAAAGAGAGAAAAAGGGAGAAAACGGAAACAAGGTGCTGTTGCTCACGGAATAAAAACTATTCACTTAAACCGCCTATTAAATACATTTGCTAACTAAAAACTAAACAAAGAGCAGGCGCGTTGCTGTCCCGCTTGGCATTCCGCTGCCGTTAGCTAGCAGACTGTTTCCGGTTGTCCTGTGCAACCCATTGGATAGTTTTCCGTTGACAGATCCCCGGTAATATGGATCCGTTTGCTGTTCCAGCGGCGAGTACTTAACATTGCTTTTCTGTGACAGCGGCAATGCCAGTTGCTCCCGGCTTCGCGTAATCTGTTTAGCGCGATTGTAGCATAGCACACCGACAATCGCCAGCGCCATGCCGAGGCAATTGACCCACGTAACTGGATTTCCCAGGATTAGAAGTGACACTGCGATCACAAAGATCCGCTTCGATGCACTGGCCACAGCATAAGTAAGTGGAGTGACCAGTGACAAGACGCTGAAAGCAATGATGTTTTGCAGCCAATTTAGGACGCCGTCGGCGAAAAGCAAAGCAATCACCCGGTAGTCTACGTTTTTCTGTAAAGGGGAAAGTTCGGTTACTTAAATAGAATTAGCGTGAATTTAAAAAAACAATAGTATTAATCATTTCAAATTTTGCTGGAGCTTTCATTTGTTTTCTTTGATGGATTTTTCAGGTTAGCTAATGCTAGGTAACGGTAATTAATTTGATTACCTTGAATATTAAATCTTACCTTTCTTTCTCTGTTTATTTGGCACATATAATATGTATAAAAATTAAAGTTGGTTCAAAAATAAGAAAACTTTCCAATCGTACGAAATACATTTTGTTACTTTGATAAAAGATCAATGGGTTCTAAAGGAATAAATGATTCAAGAAAACTCCACTAAAAGTTTTATAGAGAAAGCTGATGGTTTTTTGAATTCAGGTTTGCTGTAAATCATTACAATGTTAATAGGCATAAGTTTTAGTTAAAAGTAACTTGCACAAGTGCTTAGATCTCATTTACTAATTTCAGAACCAAAAATAGGCACGCTTTTCTATTTTTTTCTACAGTGCTTTTAATGTGCTCTAAGTTATTAAAATGAGCTAGGTAAACAGAAACACAAACACAAGTGTTCCTAGACATCTGCGAATAATAAAAAAAAAAATAATTTAAAAATGTCACGAAGTTAAGACAGCAGAATTTCTGGCCTGGTTTATTTTCGAACTGAATGATATGTTGTGTCAAGTAGGTAATGGCTCAATTTGAAGAAATAACCTAATCAAAAAAACGGATTTGGTGGTTCTGTTTTGTTCTGTACTTTTAACTAGTGTCTAAAACTAGTGATAAGACTGTATCCAGTTCGACCATACTTACAATGGCTGAGTGGCGGAATACAGCAAAGCTGTCAATGTACAACCAGAGGGGCAGGAAAATGAGCAGCGACAGCTTTCCGAGTAAATGCAGCAGCCGTAAATGATGTATGTTAGTGTCCTTCAGCACCTGTTGATTGAAATACACACAAACAATTAAACAAAGACTTTAGCCACAGACAAAACTAAAACTAAACCTTTTTGGAAAATATGTTTTGCATAGAGAAGCCCATTGTGGAGATTAGGGCGCTGATCAGGCCCATCATGTCGAATGAGATCTCTGTCACGGTGGCAATGCCTACACCCGTAATAATGGGCAGCAGGCTTAGGTATACAAGCGTGGGGTGTTTTTCGCCAAAAAAGAGGCGAGTCAGGACGACGGTGAATAGTGGCATTGTGGCTTTAACTGAAAGATAAATAAAATAAGCATCGGCTTTACATTTTACTTCACAGGAAAAGTAATACACTTTTGTATAAAAGTACATTTATAATAAATTACACATAAATTTGTATTTTGATATCTATTTACGATTAAAAAACTGCAAGGCTATATAAATGATATTAGAAATATTTCGATGTAAGAAGCTTTTATCGTTAAAACAATAATACGTTTTAACTAAAATTTCAGTAAAAACGGTCTTTATCTTATATCAGATATATACTGCTGACGTGTTGGGGAATCGCCACTTTGGCGGGCATATTACTTACCTGTGTGCGCGTATGAAACTGGCACCTTCCAAAGAGAGATGTGCGAAGTGACGGAGGCCAAGAGCTTGCCCAGCGCCAGGGGAACTATTAGGCGGTAGTAGTAGGAGCGCGGTATGTCCTTGTACTTTCGAATGCGCCACAGGTTAAAGAAGGGCCCGCTGTACAGGGTGATGCTGCACAGCTGCACCAGAGTCACAGTCATCGGGAAGGGAAACTCGTTCAGAACCATCTTGCCGATCACGTTGTTGCTAGAGGAGATCACGTACCAGAAGAGACACATCAGCAGCACCACGGCTATGTGCCTTGATCCCGTTCGTTTACCACCCAGCATTTTTCGGCCGAGACCGTCCCCTCTGGTTCAAGTCCGACGGCTGAGATCAAAGGCCGAATCCCTAACTCGTGGTACTGGCCTGCTACCTGTGGTATATACAAACTCTCCGGTGCACGGAACTTATTGCATTGCGCCTGGTGTGATTTTAAATCGTCGATTAAAACGTCGTCTTATTTTGTTTTGTACGTGTACTAGGGATGCAAGTATTGCAAGAATTACTTTATCGATAGTAGCGATGGATATGGACAGCCGATATTATCGCGATACATATTGATAGATTACCAATCATTTCGTTATCTTTTCAGGCATTATTTATTTGAATGATTAAGCTGAATACAATTTACAAAAGTTATTTATAAGCAAAAAAGGAGATTTTGCGAAGTAGTTTTTGCTGTCACGGGAAGATTTACAAGTCTTCTAATCTAAAAGTCTCCTCCCCCTAAAAGGCAAACGCTAAATTACAGAACAGGAACATTATGGTAAATCATTGATTTTGTGATTTTGTTTTATATGTTTTCGAAAAAAAACGTTAAATATTTAAAGTAAAAAATCAAACTTCTTACTAAAGCAAGCTGATAAGATTTTAAGATATTTTTATAATAAATACACGTTTCTTTGTGCATATTTTATTTAGTCGACTTCTTAGATTTAATTAGTCTATAAATTTAAAATACATATGAAAATGCACATATCTTTCTATGTTTGCACATAAAAATTACTTATGATAAAACCTCAAAAATGGCAAATTGTGAAATCACTAAAACCGAATGTAAAATACATATGTATACATACATATGATATGTGGGTAAATTAAATGTATATAATGTATGTCAAAAAACTGTTTAATTTAAGTAGATTTTTTTTACCTTGCATTCACTAAATAATACTTTATGTTTAATGTAAAATTTTTTTAAAATATGTGGCTAGTATATATAATGCGCTTAAATATAAAACTTATTAAGAAAATATTGCAATGGGAGGGAATAAAATATAAAAACGTAAGTTTATACAAATTTTTCAAATACACTCGTGTTTCCCGATTCTGTTTTGCTCTTCCTTAGAAAAACCGTACTATTTTGACACAAACCCCTACTTGTAACGTTTATTTTTAAAAAATTACTGAAATCAAGATATTTTCATTTTTAAAATGCCTGGCAAGAACGACAGGTTGTTACTTTTGATTTTTTTTTGAATTTTGAGAAATGGTCCACCACGATGAATAACTATCGTGGCCTCGGATATTTCCCCAAGAAATCGATATAGAGCTTCTGGAATGGCTGTTCCGTCTGGACTCTTTCTCCAACATCGCCTTTTAAACATCGTATCCACGTACAAGCTCGCGGATTTAGAGAACCATGCCAGGCCAGTAAAACTGCCGTCGGAGGACTTACAGAGTCTTTCCCATTCCGCTATGAGCTGCGATTGGGTCCGCATGCGCACGATCTATTAGGCTGTGGGTCAGACTCTGTGGGATCCACAGTTTCCACTCGGAACCTTCTACCTCATCGTCCGAATTCGCTTGAGAAACTCTCTTGAAGATGAGACCATCCTCGATCTTCAAGTCCGGTAAGTGTTCCAAATTACCCTCCACTTCCTTCACTAATCCGAGGTAATCTTCTCCAGCAAACTTGGTTGTTTCGATACCCAACAACTGCGTCGGATCCAACACTAGCTCCTCCACACACCGTGAAAGGGTGTCTGCCAATCCATTCTCACTTCCTTTCCTGTGCTCGATGTTGAAGTGGAATCCTTGAAGCTGCAGTGACCACCAACGTCCACCGTCCCGACAGATCCTTCTTGGACATGATCTACATCAAACTGGCATGGTCATTGATGCAGGTGAATGGCATCCCTTCGACGTATGGCCTGAATTTGCGGATGGCCATGAGCGCTGCAAGGCACTCTTTCTCGGTTACAGTGTAGTCAACCTGATGCTTATTCATCTTGGCCGAGCAAAAGGCAATTGGCTGCTCTTGTCCGTCGTCGTCGCACTGAAAAGGCACCGCTCCGACTCCGACGTGTGACGCATCACACTGAATAAAGAAAATCCTCTTGAAGTCCGCATGCATCAGGACTAGTGCAGTCGTCAATGGCATCTTCAAGGACTCTACGGCTAGCTGGGAATCTGGACTTACGTACGCAAAACAAGGCAAACTTATAGCTCGTAGACGATATGACGGAAACGAGGCATTAGATGTAGTTGCCACAGTGCACCCACCCTTCCTGTGGTGCCTTATGTAATGCGAGGGAGCACCACCCTTCATCTTTGGCCGGAATTCCTTCCAGGAGGTTTATGACCGGCCCATCTCCCCCAATACGTATAGCACTCACACCATTTTCATTTTTTACTCTAACATTTAATGATTACAATTATCTTCTCCTACGGGTACCTAATAGGATGCTTCTGTAAATAATGGTTCTCTCAAACGTACCACCGTGCTGATAATTGAGGTTTGGGTTCACTGTGGTAGCGCCGGGAAAGGTCAGGGCGCTCTAGTCGCGGAAACTAAACTAAGCGCGGGCGAGATTACGACTACTGCACCTTTAAAGGTCGCCTAATCCTGAGGATCTCCAAGGGACTCTGGGTCTCTGGACTGGTGCCTTAGCGTGGAGTGACGGCGCGTGGATTCACGGCAGGATATAGGTGGCCAGGGGGCCCTCCCACTTGGAACAGACTCACCGGCGTACTCCAGAGGTGGCGGGATTGCGGAGCTGTTGAGGGCTATTGCCGCTGGGGAAATTTGCTCCACGTGATGTGCAGGAACGGTTTCCGTCGAGGTTACCCGCAAAATGCCAGCTACTGACATGACTACATAACGTGGACCGCCATTTCCTATCTTCCTCTCCAATGTGGTCATTGGACGATCCAGACCCGGTTAAGAGAATCACCCAAGATCGCCCAATTACCAACAAAAGAGTGCGCTACCCGTTCTGCCTGCCTAACTTATCGATAACCCCATCTTACAGCCGGTTCCTACTTGATGCAACACCACCCAAGGATTTTGAGAGACGCCACCGGATTTGGAGCCACTCGACGGAGTCATTGGGAGCATTTGAATCCCTTCTTGGTGAAACCTGGTCAGCTACGCCACTTGCAGATCCGAACGGTGCCTAACGCGGGGCCCACGCTTGCCGGGAAGTATGCTGATATCCACATTCCTTGCTCTTGTATTCGTTCCCCCTCCTAGATCATGCCCGGATATTTGGCATGATAAACTTCGAGATGGCGTCCTTGCAAGTCTTCCAGCTTGTAGGCATTGTTGCCGACGGCTTTCACAACTCGAGCCTTTAGGAATTTTTTTGCGAACTTGGCGTTGAAAGACTTGCCAAAGTCACTGATTACAAAGTTGCGGCGATGCACTTCCTGACCTGGACTTTCGGACCTTTTCTTGGATCACCCGGAGTTTATCTGCCGTCTCCATCCCACCCATTTCATGGTCACACAAGGACTTTAGCTTCCTCGCTAACCTATAGTTGGCGCCGTTCAGGAACATGTGATGTCCGAATATGGTGATAAACGGTGCTTCTTCTGTCGCCGAGTGGATCGCGTTTCGGAGCGCTACCTCAATCTCCGAAAGGTACATGTCCCAGCCCAAAACTGTCCATCGCCTATTGGAAAATGCTGAATTGCCGACCATTGTCCGAGTGTACTACCTCTGGGCGCCAAATTTTTAGAATACCTCGTGGATAAGGAACTCGACGAAGTTCGAGGCAGTAGCTTCCTTCATGTCCTTCACGAATACGAATTTTGAGAAATGGTCCACCACGATGAATAACTATCGTGGCCTCGTGGCCTCGGATATTTCCCCAAGAAATCGATATAGAGCTTCTGGAATGGCTGTTCCGTCTGGACTCTTTCTCCAACATCGCCTTTTAAACATCGCATCCTCGTACAAGCTCGCGGACTTAGAGAACCATGCCAGGCCAGTAAAACTGCCGTCGGAGGACTTACAGAGTCTTTCCCATTCCGCCATGAGCTGCGATTGGGTCCGCATGCGCACGATCTATTAGGCTGTGGGTCAGACTCTGTGGGATCCACAGTTTCCACTCGGAACCTTCTACCTCATCGTCCGAATTCGCTTGAGAAACTCTCTTGAAGATGAGACCATCCTCGATCTTCAAGTCCGGTAAGTGTTCCAAATTACCCTCCACTTCCTTCACTAATCCGAGGTAATCTTCTCCAGCAAACTTGGTTGTTTCGATACCCAACAACTGCGTCGGATCCAACACTAGCTCCTCCACACACCGTGAAAGGGTGTCTGCCAATCCATTCTCACTTCCTTTCCTGTGCTCGATGTTGAAGTGGAATCCTTGAAGCTGCAGTGACCACCAACGTCCACCGTCCCGACAGATCCTTCTTGGACATGATCTACATCAAACTGGCATGGTCATTGATGCAGGTGAATGGCATCCCTTCGACGTATGGCCTGAATTTGCGGATGGCCATGAGCGCTGCAAGGCACTCTTTCTCGGTTACAGTGTAGTTAACCTGATGCTTATTCATCTTGGCCGAGCAAAAGGCAATTGGCTGCTCTTGTCCGTCGTCGTCGCGCTGAAAAGGCACCGCTCCGACTCCGACGTGTGACGCATCACACTGAATAAAGAAAATCCTCTTGAAGTCCGCATGCATCAGGACTAGTGCAGTCGTCAATGCCATCTTCAAGGACTCTACGGCTAGCTGGGAACCTGGACTTAATGAAATCTTCGAGTTTCCCGCATTTTTCAGCGATTCCGTGTGCGGGGCGGCCAACGTCGCAAAGTTCTTTATGAACCGGCGGTACCATCCAGCAGTCCCAAGAAAAGCTCTCACCTCCTTCATTGATCTGGGCTTCAGCATCCTCCTGATCGCGGCTACTCGTCCTGGATCCATCCGTAGACGACCTCCACTAACGACGAACCCCAAGTAAGTCAATGATTTAAAACAAAACTTGGACTTAGTCATTCCGATGGTTAAACCCGCTGCTTTCAGGCATTCCGGGACTTGACGGAGGTACCTAAAGTGGGTCTGAATATAAGGAGCGAGTATCAACAGATCATCTAAGTAGACAAAGACGTTAGAGCGGATCTCAGCTGGGATCACTCGGTCCATTAGCCTCACCAACCGCTGGGCCGCGTTGCAAAGTCCGAATGGCATCACCCGAAACTGGTAGAGAAGCCGACCAGGAACTGCAAAGGCTGTCAGTTCCTTGCTTTTTGGGTCCAACTCGATCTGCCAG